GGGATTAAAGAGCATTTCCTCAAGCCCAGCTGCCATTAAAAAGAGGCAGATACAGCCAAGGACTGGACCTTCTCTGGAAGGCTGACAGCACTGACCCTCGAGAAGGCGCCAGCTGACTGAGAACACTCTGCCCTGATATGTGCTGAAATTCCGCTGAGAGCAGAGTGGTACATTAAACCCTTTAGGGGCTTGCAAAACAAGTGTCCTATGTTTTAGAGTCATAGAGTTTTGCCAAAACAAGTATGAATTCACCTAGTGGCCCCTGTACCCGGCCTTTCCCGTGGGCCCCGAGTGCCAGACACATCCATATGTAACAGCAGAATGAATGATTGAACAAGCGGTTGAATGAACAGCAGTGGAAGGCAGCGGGCTGTCAGATTCTATGAGGCAATCACAGCATCAGGTGACCTTAGTATCCATTTGGGAGGATGGCCATTTATTCTCGGGAGCGCACGGCTCTGCAGAGGCCCATATCCAGGCAGCGAGCTCTGACAGGGGGCGCCTTTAGATGGACTGAGGAGGAAACAGCCCGAAATCCCCGGGCCCGAGCGCGGCCCGTGCAGGCCGGAGGGTCAAGAACGCCCCGCTGGCGGCTTCGCCCCGGCCTAAGGCGGCCTGTGCTATAAATACGCTGCCCACATGCCGCGGTGACACGGTGTTCCCTGGGCTCGGCGGGGCAGATAACATGAATGTGCCCTTTAAACGTCCCAAGTCGCAGGCACAGCCCCCGGCCCAGCCCCGCTCCAGGAAGCGCCTTCGCCCCCGATGCCCTCTGCGGCGGGGAGGAGGGGGCGCCCCGCACCTGCCCAGCCAATGCGCGGCGCGCGCGCCGGCCACGGCCCGCCTCTTCTCGCGAGAGCCGGGCGGGGATATAAAGGGGGCTGCGGGCGAGGCGGCGGCCCCTTCGCGTCGCGCAGGGTCGGGGACGGCGCGTCGGTGCCAGGACGCGCGTGGGCGAGAGCGCGAGCAGGCTGCCTGCGGGCTGAGTGCGACGGGCCGCCGCCATGGGTGATCACGCGTTGAGCTTCCTAAAGGACTTCCTGGCCGGAGGCGTCGCCGCTGCCGTCTCCAAGACCGCGGTCGCCCCCATCGAGAGGGTCAAACTGCTGCTGCAGGTGAGGACCGCGCGGTGCAGGGGCGGGCGCGGGTGCGGGTGCGGCGGGCCGGGCGGGGCGCGCGCTGCGGGGCGCGGGGCGCCGGGGACAGTCTGCGCCAGGCCACAGGCCCGGGCGCCCGCCCGCCGACGGGGGAAGGTGCCCTCTGCGTAGGGACGGGTCCAGCGTCAGTCCCAGATTCCTGGTGTCGGGTGGCGCCCGGCGTTCGGGTGTCTATATATGGAAACCCACCCGGAGCCGGTTTACGCGAGCCAGATCCTGCGCCCGTGACAGCGCGGGCATGCACTCAGGCCGGGCACCTGGTGATTGCCAGTGTTTTCGGCACGGTCTTATGCACACCCACCTTTACAATAAAAACATCAAAATAATCATCGCCCGAGAACTCCCTTATCGGAGCTCATGCACAGTGCTGTGTGTAGGCCGACGCTGTTTCATTCATCTTTATATAACCTCTGTGACAGAGTTATTCTCCATTTAACAGATGAAGCCGAAGTTTTGAAAGATTCAGAAACAGTTTTTGGAATAAACTCAGATCATCCCGTCTCCAAATCTTTTCCTCCCCTGCCTGGTCGATCAATGGCTTATCATCATCCTCTTCCGTTTTTCTCCACCTGCCCAAAAGGTCAGGGCCCCTCAGTGAGGAAGAGCCCAATTTGGGAGTCAAAGTTACCAACGATAAAACCCACCACAGATTGCTCACAACGGCAGCAAACCCTCAATAATTGATTACTTGGAGGACCTGCCTGAAACTTTGGGAGCTCTACTGCTTAGTGGATTTATTCTCCTTCCTCTATTGGAGCATTTACTGGAGATCCTCATCTCCAGGGCGGTCAGTCTGACACTGAGAAATTCATTTCGTGCCCATCATGTCTACTGAATCCAAAGCCCTTTGAAGCAAGGAGGGATACTCATTTCTCTCCCCCATTAAGCTCCTCCTACAGTTCTCAAACCTAGGGAAAATGAAATGAATCAATGGCTAGCTTTATACAGTTCAGTCGCCTTTTCAGTTTATTTGGGGCAACACCTTTCCTCAAATACCCTAATAATTGAAGCAACGCTGGATTATTTTGGCTTGTTATCCAGTAACTAACATTCATTTACACGTCCTCAGTATCCATTTGATTTCCTTATCCTTTTTTTTTTTCTTCAAAGAGAAATCTAGGAAGTGCAAACCTTCTTTTTTCTCCTGTCCTCTTCCCTCCCCTCTGCCCTGCCTGTCTTCTGTCACCCACCCTCCCCACCACCAGGTCCAGCATGCCAGCAAACAGATCAGTGCTGAGAAGCAGTACAAAGGGATCATTGATTGCGTGGTGAGAATCCCCAAGGAGCAGGGCTTTCTCTCTTTCTGGAGGGGTAACCTGGCCAACGTGATCCGTTACTTCCCCACCCAAGCTCTCAACTTCGCCTTCAAGGACAAGTACAAGCAGCTCTTCCTAGGGGGTGTGGATCGGCACAAGCAGTTCTGGCGCTACTTTGCTGGTAACCTGGCGTCCGGCGGGGCCGCTGGGGCCACCTCCCTTTGCTTTGTCTACCCGCTGGACTTTGCTAGGACCAGGTTGGCTGCTGACGTGGGCAAGGGCGCCGCCCAGCGTGAGTTCCACGGTCTGGGCGACTGTATCATCAAGATCTTCAAGTCTGATGGCCTGAGAGGTCTCTACCAGGGTTTCAACGTATCTGTCCAAGGCATCATTATCTATAGAGCTGCCTACTTCGGAGTCTATGATACTGCCAAGGGTGAGAGAGGGGCATCAGGGGAGGAGGAGGGTGGTGTGGAGAGAAGATCCTGTGGGGTCTGTAACTCACAAAGGATTTGGTATGTACTGACCTTGCTTTTTTCTAGTCTCTGGACTAAACTGAGGCTTCTGAATGAGGAGGCGGTGTGGGTTAATTAATCGTTAAAGGATTCTTTGTGTCCTCTACGGAAATAAACCCCGGCCTTTACTTATTCAGAGAGGAGGAAGCGGGAGGCTGTCTCCCTCTAGACACAGCCATAGCAGTTACTAGGTTTAACTTGAAGCCACTTCCAGCACCCTGGATACAAGCAGAGCAGTGGGTCTAGAGGGCTGCAGCCCTTTGCTGGCTGCCTGGTCATATGTGAGGCACCTGCATAGGGGCAGGTTCTCGGCAAGGTCAGAGCGTGGAGTTGGAGGTGCAATGGCCTCTCTCTCCACCTGCTTTCTGCTGAGAGCAGTCACCTCATAGCCCTTCGGCTTCTTGGCTCTGTCCACAGGCATGCTGCCTGACCCCAAGAACGTGCACATTTTTGTGAGCTGGATGATTGCCCAGAGTGTGACGGCGGTCGCAGGGCTGGTGTCCTACCCCTTTGACACTGTTCGTCGTAGGATGATGATGCAGTCCGGCCGGAAAGGGGGTAAGCTGCGCTCTACTGGTCTGCACTTATTTAAGGGGGTATGCTGTGCCCTACTCGTCTACACTTTATTTTTGTCCCAGGAGAACGTTTCACAGTGCTCCTTTCAGTCTTCCTTACTGGGAATTCATTTTCAAAATTATTTGATAAGGACATAGGGAAGAAAGGTTGTATTGATTCCCCCTAACATTCTCAACTGTCCCATAAGGGCAAAGTTTTTTTCTGTTTTATTAAAGAGATGATAAGAACATCAAAAATAAGACACTTAGACGTGAATTTAACTAGGTATCTAGCATTACGGAGACCCTAGGCCCTCTTCCCTTACAGCCTGCGTGCAAAAGCCAGAGAAAAGAAGTAGTTAGCTGCTTCTTATGAAGAACTTTTGCTTCCCTCCTAGTTACTGCAGGTGTGAGTGGGACGGGGCGTTTAGCCGGGTAGGGATGGCCTGACGCAATCTGTTGTGCTGGAAAAAGTTTTGGCTTCTATGGGTTGAACCATAGGAAATTGACACTTTAAAGGGAAAAAACAGTCCAGTGTTAGCAGTTTCATATGTTTCAACAAATAGTTACAGCCTTTTATTGTAACTGCTTAGCCTTGCGCAGTATAATCTGAGGTTTGGTCCTCCATAAAAAAGGTAACCACGCAGCATAACACTCCTGCTCCACTGTGCCCTTCCTGTTTCCGCTGGGCAGTCTGTGAATCGCTTGTTTAGTTGCCCCAGTTCTTCACTGACCTTGAACTAATGGAATAGGGATGACAGGAGGCCCAGCCTGCCAGTTAAGCAAGGAAGGAGATGTTCAGTTGAATGTTACATGGAGCTGGGACTTCTTGCCCGGATGACTCTAATTTTACGAAACTGGTAACCGTGTGTGCAGAGATCTTTCAGAGGAAAAGTCTCTTTCCTCCAGCATTATGGAGCCCTCACCAACATTTGTTTCCACAGCGGACATTATGTACACAGGGACAATTGACTGCTGGAGGAAGATTGCAAAAGATGAAGGAGCCAAGGCCTTCTTCAAAGGTGCCTGGTCCAATGTGTTGCGAGGCATGGGCGGTGCTTTTGTATTGGTCTTGTATGACGAGATCAAAAAATATGTCTAATGTAATTAAACACAAGTTCACAGATCCATTGTGTGGTTTAATAGACTATTCCCAGGGGAGGTAAAAAGGTCTGGGATAAAACCGGACTGAAAGGAATACCTCAGAAAAGATGCTTCATTGAATGTCCATTAAACCACAGCTGTATTTTGTATGTATTTTACATTTAAATTCCCACAGCAAGTAGAAAATAATTTATCATACCTGTACAGTTAACTGAAGAACTGGTAATGAAGAAATAACTGAACGTGAAATATCAATAAAGACCACCGAATGCATGTTTCTATTTCATTGGACCTACAATGCTTAAGTTCTGGTTTTCAAACTTAGGCAGGTCATATTCTGTTACCTCATCCAGTGTTGCTGTAGCTTAGGAAGTGATCAAGGCTTTCTTAATCCTCCCTTGTTTTGTGCCCTTTCCTTCAGTTTAGAAATTCTGAGATTCTGCTAAAAGGTTTAATTCACAATCTGGAGAATTTTCCACGATTAGGAAGTGCTGTGTTTTAGTCCCTTTAGATAACTGTGACACCTAGAATTTTAAGGTAAGTCGAGAGTATTCATGAAAATCAAGGCTGGGCACCGTGGCTCAGTCTGTCATCCCAGCACTTTGGGAGGCGGAGGCGGGTGTATCACTTCGTGCCAGGAGTTGGAGACCAGTCTGACCAATGCAACCAAACCCCGTCTCTAATAAAAATATGAAAAATTAGCTGGGTATGATGGCGCACACCTGTAATCCCAAGTACTCGGGAGGCCGAGGCACGAGAATTGCTTGAACCGAAGAGGCGGAGGTTGCAGTGAGCTCAGATGGCACCACTGCATTCCATCCTAAGCGACATGGTGAGACGCCATCTCAAAAAAAGAAAAAAAAAAAATCAGTTGTCTTAGTTCAGCCCACTGTAACAAAGTGTTATAGACGGATGGCTTAACAGGAACTTATTCTCAGTTCTGTAGGCTGGAAGTCCAAGATCAGGGCCACTGTGGCCAGGTTCCGACGAGGGCCCTCTTCTCAGTGGTAGACTGACTTCTTGTATCCTTAGTGGCAGAAAGAGTGACAGCTCTCTGGAGTCCCTTTTATAAGCTCACTAATCCCATTCATGGGGTCTCTACCCTCATGACCCAGTTTCCTCCCAAATGCCCCTCCTCCAAACACCACCACTTTGGGGGTTAAGATTTCAACAGATGAAGTTTGAAGGGACACAAACATTCAATTCGATTCATAGCATCAGTTATCAAGCTAGTGTTTAACACCGCCTAGGCCCCGTAGAAGAGAGAAAAGATAGGAACCTGCCCTGGAAGACGCTTAAGTTGGGGAGAAAACGTGAAATGCCACTGTTAAGATAATTTATTACAATACATCTTGCTTGAGAAGGAATAAAAGGGAAATGAAAAGGGGGAGGGGAGTGGCAGGAGAGGGAGACTTGGAAAGAAAATAATTAGATTTAGGAACATGGGTGTAGACAGCATCTTCCAATACTTCTGTAACAATTTATCAAGACCTACAAGGTTTGTGAGCCAGAGGAAAATAATTAGAATTCCAGGTTGGAAATTGTACACTTTCGGACCAGGAAGAGACCAAGCAGTTACTGTGGTCTCCCAGCTTGTGACTGACCTGGAGGAAGTGTCTCTTCCTTGGCAAAGCTTGAAAGGCAGGCTGATGTTTTTTCTGTTTCCAACAGGTGGCTGGGTGGTGGGGGTTGGTCTCTGTACCTTCTGTTCTTTACCTTGCTTGCCAAACTCTTCCACCAGCTCACCCCTGCCTCCCCAGCTAAAAACTGGCTATCTTCCTTTTACCACAGTTACCAAGGTCTGAGCTTTGTAAAATCCGGGATCACATCTGACCTCCCCTAGTAGATACCTAGGCCAATGAAGTCTGAAGGGCTAAAAGGAAGGTATCTCTCTATCCTGTCTCCTTGAGGCCAGGTAGCACACGTGTGCAGTCAGAAGCCTCCTGGATCCGTTGTCCTCCTGTTGCTTTTCGTTCTAAGGATAACATGAGTGCTCCACATTCTATTGCTGGTAGAGAATAAAAGCAGGGCAGGTTAGTGGTAGCAAGTACTTTGACGAAGCATATCTAAAAGCAGAGCCTGAGTTTAGGAGCAAGAAGAGGAACTGACAGGATGAATGAAGAGTGCGTCCTCCCAACCCCGCCAAGAAGCGTCATTGTGTTCTAGTCTTTAACCCTGGCATGGAGTGGGGAGGGAAGAGGCATGGACATTCATTAAATCGTGCACATTGTCTACATTCTGCCTGTGATCCGGACGTCGGCCGTCCCGCTTCCTACTAAGGGTACCTCCAACACAGGTTGCTCCACGCCCGCTGAGCCAGCTCCTCACTGCGGCTGCTTTACTCACCAGGAATTCCTAGAACCCTGAGCCTCTGGCGGGAGTACAGGCAGTACTTCCCTCACTAACCTGCCTTCACAGCACACCGTCACTGCAAGGCTGCATCACGCTGGAAGGTCTGCTTTACGTAAAAGTGTCAGATTGGAATTGAGCGTCGGACTCTTGGGGACCTGCCCGAGGAATTTCTCATCAGCCCTGTTTCCCATACAGCTCTCTGCTAGGCGCAGCCCCCCCTCACCACCACCACCCCAATCATCTTTAGGTATTTTTTCCCCTGAAGTCTCACCTATTGGCATCATATCTTTTTAAGACATTATTTTGTATTTTAAACGTATGAGAAAAATTATGGAGGATGATACAAGATGAATGAGTCCATAATGGTAATAATGGGACACTAAAAACAATAAAAACTTCTCAGGTATTTGTGTTGAAATCTCAATTAACTGGGCAGCTCCTCCCGTTGTATTTTATTCTGTAAAATCTGAGGCATCACTTGTGTTGAGGTGGCGTTTACTAAACCCACAAGGCGCAAGGCTGCAAGGGAGTGCAAGCGCCGCTAGGAGAGCTTCTCTTCTGCACCTCGCACAGTGCCCAGGACAGAGAAGGTGGTTAGCACGTTTCTGTTGAATGTAAGAATGAGCAAGAAGGGAAAGCGCATCTACAAAGTACAGGGAACCCATAAAATATTTGGGAAAGGGTTTCATCAGTTCTGGTGAAATTTCGACCATGCAAAGCACTGTGGGGGTGTCCAGACAGGCTTGTTGGAGTCCTATAATGCAATGAATAAAAACTTATGGCTGCCTTAAATTCAAATTTCAAGCCCTTAAATAAAATTTAAGTCTACCATGTGATAAATTCTTTGCTTTTCTGCACCTCTTGAATGTCAGAGATTTTATCAATCCACAATAAAGTACAGTTGCTCTCAGTCACAGATTCCATTTTGTAAACTGGCTTCACTGCCAAACTATTTGTAAGCACTGTAAGGTCCTTGGACACACACAGCAATGACACACTCAAGTTGTGTGACACGTGCGTCCCCAGCTGCAGCGGGACAGGGTGACACTTAACCACTTAACCTGCCTTTTCATTTCGGTCTCATCCTGTTCACATGTGTTTACTTCATGCTACAGTAATTCTGCTGTTTAAAAAGGCCCCCAAGCTTTGTGCAGTGGCCAATGCAGTTTATTCGAGGCACACTCATTGCTAATTAAGATGGCCCCCAGGCAGGTTGCGCAGGCGCTGTTCCTACGCACAGAAGGGCTAAGACACGCCTGTGGAAACTGCTTGTGTCAGATCAGCTGCCTTCAGGCCTGAGCCACGAGCTCAGTGTTAATGATCAGCAATATATATTAAATAAGATCTCTTTAACTGTGAACACACATAAAACAGGGTTATGTACGATGCTTGTGACCAGCGGCTCATGGGAACCTAACCTCGTATTTACTGTTTGCCTCAAGTCTGTAGTATGTAACTCCCGTAAATAATGAGAATCACCTCTCTTACCATTTTTGAAGTCATAAACATAGAAACATCACCAGCCAAGCAAAGTGACTTGCCCATAATCCCAGCACACTGGGAGGCTGAGGTGGGAGGATCAGTTGAGCCCAGAAGCTCGAGACCAGCCTGGGCAACATAAGGAGACCTTGTCTCTACAAAAAATAAAAAATTCGTTGGGTGTGATGACACACACTTGTAGTCTTAGCTACTCAGGAAGCTGAGGTGGGAGGCTGCAGCGAGCTATGATGGTACATTTCCAGCCTGGGTGACAGCGTGAGATCTGTCAGCAGAATACCTGTAACATGTCTCACATCACATATTGTGTACGTGGTTTTCATGCGTTCTACTGTCATTTCAATTTTCATAGCCTTGTAAAGATGAGTTTGGTTTTGACATTTTTGCAGTCACTGATGAATCACACGTACTTAGTGACACCCTATGGTCTTCCGTCAGCCTGAATGCTCTGACCAATGCAGAAGCATATGGTCCTTGCTCTCAGGGGCTTTATCAGGGAAGGAAAACAGACTAAAAACATGTGAGACGTGGCAAGTAATGAACCACATAACATAAAATCTTAAGTCATTGTTTCTTCAGCTTTTTCTAGCTAAAGGCTTATTTTACTAACCCAAATATGATGTGATGAAGACATAGGTTAGAATGATGGCAGTGGGCTGGGCACAGTGGTTCATGCCTCTAATCCCAGCACTTAGGGAAGCTGAGGTGGGTGGATCACCTGAGATTGTGAGTTCGAGACCAGCCTGACCAACGTGGAGAAACAATGTCTCTACCAAAAATACAACATTAGCTGTGCGTGATGGTGCATGCCTGTAATCCCAGCTACTTGCGAGGCTGAGGCAGAAGAATCGCTTGAACTCCAGAGGCAGAGGTTGCAGTGAGCCGAGATTGCACCATTGCACTCCAGCCTGGGTGACAAGAGCAAAACTTGTCTCAAAAAAAAAAAAAGAAAGATGGCAGTGAAAATAAGTAATATGTTTTGAAGGACAGACAGGACATGATACATTGAAGAAGTGTTAATGAGAATGCAAAGGTTTTATGTCTTTGTGTTTGAGGGAAAAATAACAATATGTTCATTGCAACTGAAGTCAAGAGGCAGCACTTGGGAAAAACAATTTTGATTCTTGATCTCTAATCCAAAAATCTGAAAGCCAAAGTGATCTAAAATCAGCACCCCTTGAGCACTGCCACGGTGCCACAGGTAGAAAATTCCACACTTGACCTTCTGATAGGTGGCAGTCAAAACTTTGTTTCATGCATATGACTACTGTAAAAATACTGTATTAATTACCTTCATTAATTACAGATGTGGCTCACATCTGTGAACCCAACACTTAGGGAGCCTGCTGAGATCAGGAGTTCGAGACCAGCCTGACCTACGTGGTGAAACCCCATCTCTGCTAAATACAAAAAATCAGCCGGGCATGGTGACACATGCCTGTAATCTCAGCTACTTGGGAGGCTGAGGCAGGAGAATGGCTTGAACCCAAAAGATGGAGGTTGAGTGAGCTGAGATTGTGCCATTGCACTCCAGCCTGGGCAACAAGAGTGAAAACCTCATCTCAAAAAAGCTTCCTGCTCACCTACTCTTCCAAAGATTACATGAAGTTTTCCCAGACCTGGAGAGGAGGAAGAAAGGTAGAGAAAATGCAAAGAATGAGAGGCTTGTGTGGATTCCCGGGAAGGAGGGGACCTGTATTCTGTGCAGCCCAGGAAGGCAAGAAACGGTCGTGCGGTGGCTCAGCACGCAGGGCAGAGGCAGCCTCTCGGAGTTCATCCAAGAGCGGTAAGGGAGACGGAGAACAAATCCCCGGTGCCTGAGGATTTGCTTGTGTCCATAGTGCACAAAGTTAAGGCAGCCTGCTGGAGTGAAGGTTCCCAAAAAGCTCCATTCAGGTTTTCCTGCTCTAATGTGGTGCAGGAGCGGCAGAGTAACATTTCATTTCCAAGGACGCCACAGTTAGCTGACAGCAAGCCAGACCTGAAGCGCCTCATGGATGAAAGTGAGGAAAGTGTGACCTTGATAGGACACCCTTGATGGAACACAGACTGACGACCAGAAGCGAACTCGGGCCAGGCCACAGGTGTCGGCATGGTCAGGTAAAGATCTGGACCCCACGTCCCTTTCCCCGTCCATAGTCATCCATGGTGACTCCAGTGGAAAGAAAAGGGGACCCAGATTATTTCCACCACTTGACAGAATGGATTCTCTGAATAGAAATTAAGTTGCCTTGCACAGCTGAGTTTGTGGACCAATATTTGTACTTACTGTATTATTTTCTTATTTTCAAAAAACAATTTAACTGAAGACATCAGAATTTTGGAAACTCATTAATGTTCCTTGTTCTAGCAAGCACATTCCTTTAGGAAGGAGACTCAGATTTAACTCGTGTGTGTGTGTGTGTGTGTGTGTGTGTGTGTGTGTGTGTGAGAGAGAGAGAGAGAGAGAGAGCGCATTTGGGGGATGGACTTCAGGGTGGTTTTCTCTATAAATCTTTGTGAAATTAGCTCATGAGGCCAAGCGCAGTGGTTTATGCTTGTAATCCCAGCACTTTGGGAGGCTGAGGCGGGCGGATCATGAGCTCAGGAGATCAAGACCATCCTGGCCAATATGGTGAAACCCCATCTTAAAAAATAAAGCAGAAATTAGCTGGGCATGGTGGTGCACCATTAGTTTCAGCTACTTAGACTACTTGTGGGGGCTGAGGCAGGAGAATCACTTGAGCCCCGGAGATCGAGACTGCAGTGAGCAGCGTTCATGCCACTGTACTCCTGCATGACAGACGGAGACCCCATCTCAAAAAAAGTTCATGAATTATGAATTTATATTAAATAGCTAAGCTAAATAAGTACATCAGCTGACTCATGTATAAACTTTACACCTCCAACACAACATAATAGTCTTTCAATAAGTGCTTGTTGAACGAATAGGAAAACAATGCACTTTAATTTCTAGGTCAGTGGTTCTCAAATTTCTCCAGTGAGGGAGCACCTGGAACCCACCATCATTTTTGTGTGGCGCTCGGAAATGTAGGTACCTGGAATTTCATCATGTAAATGAGCAGTTGTACAGGCAGAATTGTGATCTGTTATGTGTCTGCCTGCAATATAAAAAATAATAGTCATTTTAATGGTGGATGTATCAATTTCTCCCTTGAG